TAAGCTTAAAAATCTTGAAAAATCATGGCTGTCAAGTCATTCAGCTTTTTTCTAGAGTCTAGTTTTGTTCTACCCTTCCTTTGTTTTTGAGTCAATATTGTTAATAGAGAAATAGCTCACCTACAAAAACTTTAGTCAATGGGTTTTTAAAAATGTAAACCATTCCTATTTCGTCTTATTTATTGACCACTTGTATACATCAGATGTTATGTAACTACAAATTTTCTTTAACATTGATGATTCTTGAACTTTGCAAAATAGCTTACTTAAAGTGGTGCTATAATAATTTGTAAACTTTGAGGTGTGAACCACTTCGGTGAACATTTGTGGAGTATCTAGAGGTAATTTGCCATTAGAGTTTGTTTATTTTCTCTTGTGATTTTGGGATTTTAATAATGCAAAAAGGAGCTAGTCATAACTTTCAAATATGATGCCTTCCTGGAAACTTGTTAGTTGAACGTCAAAATTTGACCCATTAACTTGCCTGTCTTCCCCTCCAGAGAACTAACACATGTTGTAAAATGTTCAGCTGTGGCTTGTGCACCTGCTGCCTCTTGGGCCCAGACTGCCTGGCTGGCAGGTGATGGAAAAGCAGCCCAGATATTTCTGCTGGCCAGGGACACCTGCAGCTCTGCAGGGAAAAGACGGAGAGAGGAGCTGAGAGGCAGGTGATGGGGTGGGAGGGAGGCTGAGTTTGGTAAGGTGAGCTTGCACTGTGTGAGCTGGGTTCTTTGAGGTACCTACACTCTTTGCCAGAGTTGGTTTTGTGTGTGTGTGTGTGTGTGTGTAAAATGCAGTTTAAAGATGTCGGTATATTTATATGAAAGTCAAATGTCTGAAAGTCAGGATTGCATGCATCATATTGATGGATGTGCTGTTTGGTTTACCCAATTACTGCTATGGGAAATGTTCACTATAGTGTAGGCTTGCATTTTGTAAATCCTATTATTCTTGTTCTACATTTGGAGATTCGTGTCTCTGAGAAATGGCGAGTGAGCATGTCTCTTTTTTTCATGTTTGATTATTTGTACCTTGACATTTAACATTTTTATTTAAATGTTTTACTTTTGTCACTTTATTCTCTTACCTCTGCTACTACCCTAAACTGCTAATGGAATAGGTGAAGACTTGATTATAGTTAGTTTCTCATAAAAAGTTTCTCATAAAAAGTTACAATTAACTTCCTGTCTCTACCTGTTTCTAAAGGGACTTATTTTGTGTCATTTTCTAGGAAGTATAATAGATTTGAATCATTTTGCGGTTTTATTGTCTAATAGCTACTCTCTCAATCTTATGAAGCAGGCAACTATTGTATACATCCGGTTAGGGGGGTGATTTCAAACCATTGTCACGATGGCGATTAAATAAAAGAGTGCTTTTGACTTGGCTTTTAAAGAAATTTGGTAATATTTATTAAGAAGTAGATAAATTAGCACACTTAAAATAATTTAAGGACCTAATAATCATGTGCTGTGTTGTGGGCCTGAGCTCTAGGCCAGGCCACAAAGCCTGGTCTTGGTTTTGAAGATAGGCAAGAAGGCTGGCAAGAAGGCTGACTAGGACTCAGTTTAAAGTTGCTTTTTTTTTTTTTTTTTGCCTTTTGTGGACTTTTCCTACTCAGATATCTTTTTCGGTAGTTCTGGTTATGTTGACAATAATATTTCAGCCAAAAAGCAAAAGACATCTGAAATTTAGTAAGTTACAACCTCTCCTCGCTTACGTTGTTCAGAAGGACAGGGAGGCAAAGAACCCAATGTCTTTTTGACCTGAAGTTTTCAAGCAGAAGCTTTGGGGGCTAACAGATTCTAATCTTTTCAGTGGTGCTTCTTAATACTTTCTCTGAGCTCGTTAGTGACCCATCTCTCAATAAGGCCCCACCAAGATTTATTTTTAATTTAAAAAATGTTAAACTGAGGGATTACAAAGCTAAAAAACTAGTTTTCTGTCAGTTCAGTGTATAGTTGACCCTCTTGTACGTGTGTAGCTTTTTTGAAGCTTTGAGAGGTTGCCATGAGCAATGCGAAGGGCCCCTGCTTGTCCCAGGATCTTGACTCCAGAGGCCTTTCCTTTCCATTTATAATGGCAGTTTAGTAGCTGCAGCTTGTAGGTGGAGAATTCCATGCACACTGCTGAGGACTAAGAAACAAATGCTGTGGGTAATTGCGCACCGAGGACTTGTGTGCTTCAAGGCTCCTGTGACCTATTTATGTTCTTACATGTGTGCACTTTATTTTACAATATTTTTTAAAACTTGTGCTGTTTGTGTGGCCTTAGCCTATTAATATACATTTTACTGGCTTTCGCCCTACACATTGTTTTTCTACCAAAAGAGTAGTTGCTTGCATGCAGTGTTTGTGTTTTCAGTATTAAATTTTATTTACAGTTCTGTCTTTTCTATTTGACAGATAACTAAGAACACTTGGGGAGAATATCATTTACTTGTTTACCTGTTGCTGTCTCGTTGATTCCAACTCATAGCAACCCTGTAGGACAGTGTAGAACTGCCCCATAGGGTTTCTAAGACTGTAATCTTTACAGAAGCAGACTGACACATCTTTCTCCCACAGAGCAGCTGGTGGGTTTGAACCGCCAACTTTTGGTTAGCAGTGGCGTGCTTAACCACTGCTTCACCAGGGCTCCTTAAGAATATCATAACCATTGATTTAATTTACAAATTGATTTAGAGTTAAGTACCTTGTAAATGAAAATAAGTTCAATTCATAATTTGGTTTATGGTCTTCCCTTTATTTGAGGCTGTCTTGATGGAGTTATGTTTTAAAGAGGAATAAGTGATATGTTTAAACGTAGATGATAATGAATTATTCAGCAGATCACATTTTAGGGCTAAACATAAAAACATTTTGGAAAACAGCGAGGTTACATTTTTTTTTTTCTTCAGTATTTGCGTGTGTAATGGATGTTGTCCTGACCTGATTCCTTATTTTCCTAAGTCTTGGTTTTTTGTAATTAAGAAATGTAGATATGTGTCTAGAATGCTATTCTTTGGTTGGTAAATGGAGATATGAACTGAGAACTGTCCACCTCCAAACACAGTTTTGTGTTTTTTTTTTAAGGAAGCTTTTTTTTTCTTTTATTTTTTTAATTTATTATTGTACTTTAGATGAAGGTTTACAGGACGCACTAGCTTCTCATTAAACAATAGTACACATACTGTTTTCTGACATTGGTTACCAACCCCACGACTTGTCAACACTCTCCCTTCTCGACCTTGGGTTCCCTAGCTTTCCTGTCCCCTCCTGCCTTCTAGTCCTTGCCCCTGGGCTGGTGTGCCCCTTTAGTCTCGTTTTGTTTTAGGGGCCTGTCTAATCTTTGGCTGAAGGGTGAACCTAGTAGTGACTTCATTACTGAGTTAAAAGGGCATCCGGGGGCCATACTCTCGGGGTTTCTCCAGTCTCTGTCAGACCAGTAAGTCTGGTCTTTTTTTGTGAGTTAGAATTTTGTTCTACAGTTTTTTCCAGCTCTGTCCAGGACCCTCTATTGTGATCCCTGTCAGACCAGTCGGGCATGGTAGATGGGCACCATTTAGTTGTACTGGACTCAGTCTGGTGGAGGCCGTGGTAGCTGTGGTCCATTAGTCTTTGGACTAATCTTTCCCTGTGTCTTTGGTTTTCTTCATTCTCCCTTGCACCAGATGGGGTGGGACCAGTGGAGTATCTTAGATGGCCTCTCACAAGCTTTTAAGACCCCAGACGCTACTTACCAAAGTAGAATGTAGAACATTTTCTTTATAAACGATGTTATGCCAGTTGAGCTAGATGTTCCCCGAGACCATGGTCCCCACAGCCCTTAGTCCAGTAGTTTGGTCCCTCAGGGAGTTTGGATGTGTCTATGGAGCTTCCAAGACCTTTCCTTGGACAAGTTGTGCTGGCTTCCCCGGTATTGTGTACTGTCTTACCTTCACCAAAGTTACCACTTATCTATTGTCTGTTTAGTGTTTTTCCATTCCCAACCCCACCCCTCCCCTCCCTCGTAACCATCAAAGATTGTTTCTTTTTGTGTGTAAACCTTTTCATGAGTTTTTATAGTAGTGGTCTCATACAGTATTTGTCCTTTTGTGATTGACTTATTCAGCGTAATACCTTCCAGATTCATCCATGTTGTTTATCCATTCATCTGTTTGTTGATGGGCATCTAGGTTGTTTCCATCTTTTTGCTATAGTGAACAATGCTGCCATAAACATGGATGTGCATACGTCTATTAGTGTGATGACTCTTATTTGTCTAGGATCTATTCCTAGGAGTGGGATTGCTGGATCATATGGTATTTCTATTTCTAGCTTTCTAAGGAAGCGCCATATGGTTTTCCAAAATGGTTGTATTATTTTGCATTCCCACCAGCAGTGCATAAGAGTTCCAATCTCCCCACAGCCTCTTCAACATTTGTTATTCTCTGTTTTTTTGATTCGTGCCAGTAATGTCGGGGTGAGATGGTATCTCATTTGGTTTCGATTTGCATTTCTCTAATGGCTAGTGATCTCCAGCATTTCCTCATGTGTCTGTTCACTGCTTGACTGTCTTCTTTGGTGAAGTGTCTGTTCATTTTGTTTGCTCATTTTTTAATTGGATTATTTGTCTTTTTGTTGCAGAGGTGTTGGAATTTCCTTTAGATTTTAGAGATTAGAACTTTGTCAGATTTATAATGGCCAAAAATTTTTTCCCAGTCTGTAGGTTATCTTTTTACTCTTTTGATGAAGTCTTTTGATGAATGTAAGTATTTAATTTTTAGAAGATTCCAGTTATCTAGCTTATCTTCTGGAATTTGTGTGTTGTTAGTTATGGTTTGTATCCTGTTAATACCATGTATTAAGACCTCTAGCATTGATCCTATTTTTTCTTCTATGATCTTTATAGTTTTTGGTTTTATATTTAGGTGTTTGACCCATTTTGAATTAGTTTTTGTGTAAGGAGTAAGGTATGGGTCCTGTTTCTTTTTTTTGCAGATGGACATCAAGGTTTGCCAGCACCATTTGTTAAAAAGACTGACTTTTTCCCATTTGATGGACTTTGGGACCTCGTTGAAGATCAGGTGACTGTAGGTGCATGGATTTACATCTGGGTTCACAATTCTGTTCCATTGGTCAATGTATATGTTGTTGTACCAGTACCAGGCTGTTTTGACTACCGTAGCTGTATAGTAAGTTCTGAGGTCAGGTAGTACGAGTCCTCCTACTTTCTTCTTCTTCTTCAGTAGTGCTTTACTTATCTGGGGCCTCTTCCTTTTCCATATAAAGTTAATGATTAGTTTTTCCATCTCTTTAAACAATGTTTTTGGTATTTGGATCGGGATTGCATTGTATTTTGTAGATTACTTTTGGTAGACTTGACATTTTCACAGTGTTGGCTCTACCTTTCCATGAGCATGGTAAGTTTTTCCATTTATGTAGATCTCTTTGGTTTCTTGCAGTAGTGTTTTGTAGTTTTCTTTGTATAGGTCTTTTACATCCCTGATTAGATTTATTCCTAAGTATTTTATTTTTTAAGGGCTATTATAAATGGTATTGTTTTCCTAATTTTCTTTTCATCATTCTCTTTATTGGTGTATCGGAATCCAACTGATTTTTGTATGTTTATCTTATATTTTGCTATTCTGCTGAATCTTTTTGTTTGTTTCAGTAGTTCTCTCATGGAGTCTTTTGGGTTTTCTATGTATAGTATTATATCATCTGCAAATAGGGACAGTTTTACTTTTTCCTTACCAATTTGAGTGACCTTTATTTCTTTTTCTTGCCTTATTGCTCTAGCTAGTACTTGCAGGACAGTGTTAAATAGGAGTGGTGATAAAGGGCATCCTTGTCTTGTTCCTGTTCTCAAGGGGCATGTTTTCAGTTTCTCTTCATTAAGAATGATGTCAGCTGTTGACTTTGTATAGATGCCCTTTATTATGTTGAGAAATTTCCCTTCTATACCTATTTGATTGAGAGTTTTTATCAGGAATGGGTGTTGGACTTTGTCAAATGCCATTTGGAAGTATCCCTTCCTTTTCTCTGTTCTGAAATAGTTTGTGTAGTACTGGTGTAAGCTCTTCTCTGAAAGTTTGTTAGAATTCTTCAGTGAAGCCATCTGGGCCAGAGATTTTTTTTGTTGGGAGTTTTTTTTATTACCTTTTCAATCTCTTCTCTTGTTATGGTTCTGTTGAGATTTTCAACATCATTTTGTGTTAGTTTGGGTAGGTAGTGTTTTTCTAGAAATTTGTCCATTTCCTCTAGGTTTTTAAAATTTGTTGGAGTATAGTTTTTCATAGTACTCTGTTGTGATCCTTTTTATTTCAGTTGGGTCTGTGGTAATGTCCCCCATTTCATTTCTTATTTGAGTTATTTGTGTCCTCTCCTGTTTTTCTTTTGTCAGTTTGGCCAGTGGTTTGTTAATTTTGTTGATCCTTTCATAGAACCAACTTTTGGTTTTGTTGATTCTTTCTATTGTTTTTCTATTCTGTATTTCATTTATTTCTGTTTTGATCTTTATTATTTCCTTTCTTCTGGTGGCTGTGGACTTCTTTTGCTGTTCTCTTTCTATTTGTTTGAGTTGTGTAGCTAATGTTTTGATTTTTTCCCTTTCTTCTTTTTTGATGTGTGCATCTATTGCTATAAACTGACCTCTGAGTAGTGCCTTTGCTGTGTCCCGAAGGTTTTGGTATGATGTGTTTTCATTCTTGTTTGATTCTAGGAATTTTTTGTTTCCATCTCTGATTTCTTCTGTTACCCAGTGGTTTTTAAGCAGGGTGCTATTCAGTTTCCATTGATTTTTTTCCTTGCTCTTCCTGTTGTTAATTTCTACTTTGATGATGTTGTAATCAGAGGAGATATTGTGTATTATCTCAATGTTTTGGACTTTACTGAGGGTTAAAGTTGCTTTTTCTTTGGTTTGTTACTGAAGTGGCAAGAAAGCAGATCATGATCAGTGCTGGACCCAGTGTTCAGCCCCCTTTCTTCTAGCTCCAAGTCCTTTGCTCTTTTTGCTCTGCTAAAGTGCTTCTCCAACTTCCATTCTTTGGTTGACTTACATTTGCGAAAGAAAAAGAGGATTTACCTAACAGGTTTTACCCAGATACTTGGAATTTTAATCTCTAGAAGGGCTGATTTAGTTATGTCCTGGAAAGAGCACTTTCTTTGGAATCAGGTAGTTGAAATCCAGTCCTGCTGCTGTTATTGATTGTATATTTTTGGGCCATGGTTATCTTATCCACAAAAATTCCTACCATAGGATTATTGAGAGTATTAGATGAAGTATTTAATTTCTTAGCACTGTAAAATATAGTTACTTTCACTGTGAGCCCTTATTTCTTTTAGTGAAATTCAGCATTTGCTGTTGGTGTTATCAGAGGCAGATGGACTACAAAAGTTGTGGTAAAATTTACCAACTGTGTTCAAAATTTTAGTAGTGTTGCACTAAGTAAATAAAATAATAGTAACAATAAAAATTAACAACATATGATAGTAAAAATTTAGAAACTGCAGTATGCTATATCTTTTCGGAGATGTATTTGGCATATCAGTGTATTAAATAAAGGTTTTGAGAAATTCTACTGTAAAAAAAATATTTCTTTCTTTAACAAAAGTAAACTGAATTGATCATTAAGGCCTTCGTTTGAGGGCACTGATTTTAAAGAATTCCAGTATTCCATGCAACATGGTTTGTGAATATCTGCTTTAGGGTAATAATTTTGAAGATGACTTGGTGATAAAATTCTCTATTGCAAGAGACTCTACACAATATATATATAGCACCTACAGCGCCAGTGGTAATTTATGCTTGCAGTGGTAATTTATGAACTGTAAGTGAAAGGAGTCACTGCTTTAAATTCCAACTTTTGGGGAATTTATCAACTAAATTTTATCACAGAATATTGAAATTCACCCAGAAAAAATTGCTAAGTGTTAGCAATTTACATCAGAATGAATTTACAATATTTTTGTTTTAGAGTTAACACCACTCACTGAGATAACTGCTAGTATAGTCTTAAAAGTTATAAAAATTTGGATCTGAGTGTTCAATTTTGTTCATTTCCATTATGGTCAGATTTCTGATTGATATTCTTATTTTTCATCAACTTTTCAATCACTCTGAAGATAATTGCATATTTAGAACGAGTTGTTACTGCTGGACATTTTGACTCAACTCATCTAACCCTTTTGTGTTTTTGGTTTCCATTTCAGAGGACACATTCTAAAGGCATTTAAACGAGAAATTGGTAATGCATTTGGAAAGTGGTTATATTTTTATATAATGGAGTGGCTTAGGAATCAGAACCAAAATATTCTCCATTGGATTCCACTACCTCGCAACAGAGTAGGCACTAATGTTTGTTAGTTGCATATGTGAAGATATAAATTAAAAAAACCTAATGGTGACAGGGTTTTGTGGAAGTGGGTAGACAATTCTTGCTGACAATAGCACAGATAGATAGAGGAGGGCAGTATACCATAGTGGAAAGAGCACTATACCAGGAGTCAGGAAACCTGGGTTCTAATTTCAGATCTGAAGGAAATAGCCACATGACCTGGATGGGTCTCTGGATCTTACCTTGATTCCTTGTCTATAAAAGGGGAGCTCATAATAACCACTCCTTCTGGACTCATAGGTTGTTGGCAGAATGAATGAATCAGTATAAAATGCTTTTCAAATGTGCATATATAAAAACAACGTTTTTTTTTTTTTTTTTTTTTTTTAAATGCCTAGCACGGTGCCTTCAACAGTATTGGACAGTAGAGATATAGACTCTGTTACTCTCACTCTTAATAATAAAAATGATGCTAAAAAACAGGGCCTAGGACTGATTCATGGAGTGCTTACAGAGTGTTAGGGAGGTGGAAGGAAGAAGAGGAACCTACAAAAGAGAAGCAAAAGGACCAAAGAGGAGAGAGGAGGATCAGGAACGTTAGCCTCTACTTCCAGACATGACTTTCACTGAGCTTTGTTTACGCTGTTGGGGAAAGGAATAGTTACCACTCAACAAATAGCTTTTGATTTAATTTTCTAAACTCTGCTGAAGTAAATTCTCTTTCTTTGTCTGGGAAGAAGGATTTGGGGGTGAAGAGAAGTTCACTTCTTGTAAAGCTTAAAATGAGAATGAAGACTTTCAATTAGGTAGTTTAAGAATACTTAAACTTTGCTTTTCTGTATTTTCTGCAATAACCATGAATTACTTCTGTTATCACTAAAACATTAAAGTCTTAAATCACCAACAATGTTCTCGACTCCTTCTGGGTTGCCACAGTGGTATAGGCAGCAAAGATTCAGTGTCAGGGAAGGATGAGGTGCCCCTCAATCTCCTGCTTGGACACTACTGTTCTCTGAGATACGAAAATAAGTCTGGGAAACAGAACATCTCCCCCCACTCCCCCGTCCCCACACATGCACCTGGAGTGGCCACTGTAATGCTCTGTCCGTTTGTCTGCACTGCATATGCGGACAGGCTGTGTCTCAAACTTCCAGAGAGCACCATGGGGGCTACGTCCATCTGTGATTGAGCCAGACACACAAGACATGTACGAAGTGTGGCAAAGTGAGAGCCATTTTATCATTTATAGAAAATAAACAGTAAACAATAACAACAGATTCTCAAAGGGGAAATGCTTACCTTTCCCTAAATTACCCGTGTTGATTCTTTTGTCGCTGGGCAGGCACACCGTGGTTCAGGTCAGATGCTGTGTCCATGTCACCGCTGCCTCTGGCTACCGCCATGCTGCTTGGGGCCTGCAGGGCTCCTGCTGCTTCTGCTTTGCCGCTGGGCCTTGCTGGCCTCTGCTGCTGGCTGCCACCATGCTACCCAGGCCCATGCTGCCTGGGTTGGGGGGAATTGTGCAGCCCCTGTGCGGGGCACATCCAGGCCTCTCTTGCCCTGCACAAGCAAGCATTACAGCTCTGTTAGTTCTGCTGGCTCGCCTCCTGCCCAGAGGCGTCTGGCTCCCCCCCTGCCGTAGGGAGATCCCTGCACAGGGTCCTCTGAGGCAAACCCTGCCCGGGGCCCACTCCGGCCTCTGCCCTGCCCGGGACGCCCTCAGGCCTCTGCCTTGCACAGGCAAGTATTACAGCTCTTTTAGCTCTGCTGACAAGCCTCCTGCCTGAAGGTGCTCGGCTCTCGCTCCATGGGCTGAAAGTCCATTGAGCCACCTCCCTCTGAGGGCTGGAAATCCCGCTGCTGCTGTCTCTCACCATCTTGCAACCTCTTCATTGTTACAGTTCTTGCTTCTGGGTCTAGGAGTTCTCAGTTCAGGGACCCCAGGTTCAAAGGATGTTCTCCACTCCAGACTCTTCTTGATGGTAGTGAGGTCTCCCCAACCTCTGTGGGACTGGCCCTTATGTAAGGCTACTCAATGTCATTTTCAAGGCACGGTCCTCCCAGCAGGACCAGGAACTGCCCAATCGCCTTGGTAGAATATAAGTCACTCAGTTAGCATAGTCCCAGCCAGTCATTTCGTGGGAGTTACAAGACCATGGCTAGAAAGGCCATATAAGAGCAGTTCACTGCACCCCAGTCCCTGTGCATCACTCTCCAGACTGTGAGCACTGTGAAGGCAGCTGTTTCCCTCACCATTGTGGCTCTAGCTCGTAGCTGAGTATGTGAGCCACTAAGTGTGAAGGCAGCTGTTTCCCTCACCATTGTGGCTCTAGCTCATAGCTGAGTATGTGAGCCACTAGGAGTATGGTTGAGAAATTATAACCAGATGGGTTATTTCTTACAAGATGGTTTTATATTTCTTTTAAGATTGTTAGGGAATGGCTAATATTTTTTAAAATAATGTTTTATTGTGTTTTTGGTGAAAGTTTACACAGTTAATTAGGTTCCCATTTGACAATTTCTATACAGATTGCTCATTGACATTAGTTAAAATTTTCACAAGGTGTCAACATTATCTTTAATTGTGTTCTGGTTGTTCCGCTTCCAGTGCTCTAGTTTCCCTGTCCCCTTATCTTCTCATCTTTGCTTTAGAGTAGATGTTGACCTTTTGGTCTCATATAGATGATTTCTTAGTAGAGCACCAATCTTTTTTTTTTTTTATCTTTATTTTTTTACATGAAAGTTTATTCATTTTTATTTCTTT